AATGTGAGGCGTGAGTAGTCCAGTGGTCAGTGCGCTGGACTCTAGGTCAGATGGCCCGGGTTCAAGTCCTGGCTGGGGCTTGACGTTGTGTCCTTAAGCAAGACGCTTCACTCACATTGCTTCGTCTTCTCGGATAGGACGTAAAGCCGGAGGTCCCGTCTCCTGCACCTATCAATTAGTTAATTTCGGCAAGGGACGTTAAAGAACCCACATCACGAGATTACTGTGATGTGGTCTGGCCTGTTTACTGGGAAGGGGGGGAGGGGGCATCTGTAAAAATTTCTCCTTTATTAATTGTAAACTGCCGCCGGCAGTCTGGAAAAGTCCCCCGCACAGTGTTGTAAAGCGCATTAGAGCATTTACATGGAAATGCGCTATAGAAATTGATCTATATTATTCAACAACAGGACAGTTCACCTCATTTCAACTACAGAGAGTATTAGAAATATGTTTTCACAAAAGGTCAAACTAGTCAATAAGGACAAAGTGCCGAACTAAAGTTTGACTATTGATACGTCACAATGCCGTATATCCATGATGGCGGTTTTTTTAAACACGAAAGTTGTAAAAGTGGGCAACTTCGAAGCGCTCATGCGCTAATACAAAGCAAACTAGACAAAATGGCAGTTATTTTCGAACACCTGAGGAAAAAGTCTCCTAACTGAGATTAAATTTTTCTTGACCGTACTTTCTTTTTAACGGGTCAAAATGTTGGAAAGAAGATCATCAGAAAGAAAACAAACTTGTGAAAAGTCCTCCAGCACGATATAATGGATTTATGTTTTGTTTTACAAAGCTCCGATTGCGATTGGCTCCGATGAAATGATCGGAAAGGAACGTTCTTTTGTCTACTTTTCAACTAGGATATCAGAGAAAGCGTACCTTAGAAGTCCAAGCGAAAATGTGCGAGAGCATAACCGTAATTGGGGTAACATCTCCATCCTCTTGGTCAGAAAAGTCGTTTTCTGAGTCCGTGTCATATTCGCCTGCATGTGTTCGCACCTCAGCAACTGCCACTTCAACGATACAGTCGTCAACAAATGTGATATCTGTCACATTCCCACCTTTCGAAGTAGCTTGAACAGCTCTTTTGTCGCTGCTGAACCGTACTGACTGATCTCCCGAGTAAAAATAGTTACCTAGTCCCGCCAACAAGTCCAGTTTGGCGGAATCTTGTTGCTTCGTGTAGACGCCCGGTGGCAAAGTTCCTGCCCTGTCCTTGGTAGTTTCCTCCCGAACTGTCCTTTGCCTCAAGGGACGATACTTCTCCACAGATTCTTACATAGCACTTTCAATCTTGGGGTCGGTCTCTACTGAATGTAGAGGTCGCATAAAGTTTACATTTGCAAACTCCGTGCTGGTCTGAGGGACAGGATAGTAGGATTTTTCATGAGTGAAATACTTGGTTGCCCATTTCGTTACTCTCTTCAACGACTCCTTGGTAATTAATCCAAAGTTTTGGGGATACTGTAATGCGGTGAAGGTCTCATGTTTAAAATGTGAAACTTCATGTAGATTCTCCACAACTACTGTGAGTAATGTGCTCAATTCAATGTCTTGGAGATAATCGTTGTTAATCGAGGCTATGCAGTTGTGCAGGCGGTGTATCCCTTCGAGCAGTTTAAGTGAGACTTGAATTTTATGAGACAGAGTTCTTTCAGGGCCGTTGGCTTCTGTGGTTTGTTTTATACTGTGCCGTTGTCTCACCTCAGAAACGGTCTTTGTGATGTTGACATTTACATGTGATATTTTAAGAACGACACAGTACAACTGAGTCCCGACGCTAGTTTAATGCAACCTGTAGCCACATCCGATATGAATAGAGTCTTCTCCATAGAACAGATGCCATGAACTTGCGTAAAAGAACACGTTTCATCCGTTCCATCACTTGCTCCTTCCTGACCATAGCCCATCAAGGTTTTAACGTTTTTCTCACAAGGACTGAAGAACTTTACCTTCCATCCCCCGAATTAGTGAACGCTATCCCGTCTTCAAATTAACAGTCTTTTGATTTCTCTACAAGACACCGAGTTGTTCTTTAGAAGTTGATCAACTTCTAAGCTTGTTTGAGAACTTCCATAGATATGATATTCAAAATGCCAGTCAGGTAGGTCACGAGTCTGACCCCGGTACCAGCAATGCCAACTCCATTGTAGTGTAATGTCACTTGTATAATTCCTCTCTGGGCATCGTCTGCACACAAAATAATGTTTTCACTTGCAGCACAGATTGAAGTTGGCTTTTCTAAAGAAGGGCGAACTTGAACCTGGACAAGCTTCGAGCTTCCGAATTCAGCGGCTAAAACTTGCAGATGATTTGTTTTTTTTGCCAAAGAACAGTATTTGATCCTATTTTTTTCCAAGAATGTAAGGATAAGGTTGACATGTTTTATTTTAACTATTTTTTGTGAGAACACTTACATCACTGTAATATGTATAATGATAACACCCTGTGGCACCTGCTAAGACAGATTATTTTTCAAAATTAATGGTCCCTGAAAATTTACAAGCAAACGTGCCACTGTCCACATCTGATTGACAGTGCCCAAAAGTGACAAAGGAATTTCGTTGTCGAAAACATGATATTCTTTAATTCGACGTATGGCCCTCTCCACATGAATCCGGACTTTGGCTATGGTTTTTGTTTCTTTGACTTCCTCTGGTGAAAACTGTGCATGATTTAAAAGATATCGTGGAAGGTTTCTCCCTTAGAAGTGCTACATAGGCAACGTCAACAATGAGAAAC